GCACAATTTTTTGAGAGATTGTCTTTTCTCCATGGATTGATTTTAGCTCCTTTGTCAAAGATTAGTTGGTTGTAGATGCATGGACTGATTTTTGGAGTTTCTATTCTGTTATATTGGTCTACATGTCTATTTTTGTGCCAGTACCAGACTGTTTTGATTATGACTACTTAGCAGTATGTCAGAAATCTGGTACTGTGATGCCTCAAGCTTTGTTTTTTTTTTTTAAAGATTTATTTGATTTATTTGAAAGACAGATATACAGAGAGAGGTAGAGACAGAGAGAGAGGTCCTCCATTTGCTGGTTCACTCCCCATTTGGCTGCAATGGTTGGAGCTGCGCCAATCTGAAACCAGGAGCCAGGAGCTTCTTCTGGGTCTCTCGCATGGGTGCAGGGGCCCAAGGACTTGGACCATCTTCCACTGCTATCCCAGGCCATAGCAGAGAGCTGGATCATAAGTGGAGCAGCTGGGACTAGAACCGGCGCCCATATGGGATGCTGGCACTTCAGGCCAGGGCTTTAACCAGCTGTGCACAGTGCCAGCCCTTCAAGCTTTGTTTTTGTTTTTTTAAGATTGTTTAGCTATTTAGAGTCTCTTGTGTTTCCATTTGAATTTTTTCTTTTTATTTTTTTTAATTTTTATTTAATGAATATAAATTTCCAAAGTACAGCTTATGGATTACAATGGCTTCCCCCCCATAGCATCATTTTCTTCTAGTTCTGAGAAGAACTTCATTGGTATTCTGATTGGAATAAAATTGATTCTATAAATTGCTTTTGGTAGTATAGACATTTTGATGATATTTATTCTTCCAATCCATGAACATGGAAGATTTTTCCATCTTTTGTGTCTTCTTCTATTTCTATTTTAATTTTTTTTTTTTATTTTTCATCATAGAGATTTTTCACCTCCTTGGTTAATTGTATTCCAAGGCATTTAATTTTAATTTAGTTTAGCCAATGGGAGTCATAGAGTCCAATACAATAGTAATGGGGAACTTCAACATCCCCATTTTCATCAATGAACAGATCAACTAGACAAAAAAATCAACAAAGGAACAATAGAGCTAATTGACACTATCAACCAAATGCACTTGATATCTATAGGACCTCTCACCCCACGGTTGTAAAGTACACATTCTTTTCATCAGTGCATGGAATTTTCTCTAGGATAGACCATATGCTAGGCCATAAAGCAAATCTCAGTAAAATAAAAATATCAGAATCATACCATGCATTTTATCTGACCACAATGGAATGAAGCTGGAAATTAACAGCTCAAGAACCTTAGAACATATGCAAACAATGGAGACTGAAAAACTTGTTCCTGAAAGAACAGTGGGGCATTGAAGATGTCAAAAGAGAAAGTACAAAATTCCTGGAAACTAATGAAGATGACAGTAAAACCTATCAAATCTTATGGGATACAGTAAGAGCAGAGTTAAGATGGAATTTTATAGCAATGAGTGCCTATATCAAGAAACTGAAAAGGCATCAAATAAGTGAGCTATCAGTGCATCTTAAGAACCTAGCAAAACAACAACAAACCAAACCTAAACATAGTAGAAGGAAAGAAATAATTAAAATTAGAGAAGAAATAAACAAAATTGAAACAAAAAATAAACATACAAAAATCAGTGAAATGAAGAGTTGTTCTTTTTTAAAAAAATAAGCAAAATTGACATATTATTGGCCAACAAACCAAAAAAATGAGGGAGCAGAGTCAAATTAATAAAATCAGAGATGAAAAATGAAATCCAACAGCAAATGCCACAGAAATTAAAAAAAGCATCAGGAATTACTACAAAGAGCTATATGGCAACAATTTGGAAAATCTAGAAGAAATTGATAGGTTCCTAGACACATACAATCTACCAAAATTGATTCACAAAGACACAGAAAACCTAACACAGCAAGAATAAAGGCAGAGATAGAATCAGTAATAAAGACCCCCCAGCAAAGAAAAGCCCAGGACTGGATGACTTCACTGCTGAATTCTACCAGACATTTAAAGAAAAACTAATTCTAATTCTTCTCAAGCTATTCAAAATGATTGAAAGGGAAGGAACCCTCCCAAACTCCTTCTATGAAGCCAGCATCACCTTACTTCCTAAACCAGAAAAAGATACAACAGAGAAAGAACTATAGACCAATATCGCTGATGAAAATCAATGCAGAAATCCTCAACAGAATACTACATAATCAAATCCAACAACACATCAGAAAGATGGTTCACTCAGATGAAGTGGGATTTATCCCTGGTATGCAGGGATGGTTCAACACCCACAAATCAATCAATGATCACATTAACAAACTAAAGAACAAAAACCATATGATTATCTCAATAAAGCATTTGATAAAATATGACATCCTTTCATGATGAAAACCTTAAGCAAATTGGGAATAGGAGGAATATTTCTCAACACAATCAAGGCAACTTATGACAAATCCACAGCCAGCATCCTATTGAATGGGAAAAAATTGGAAGTATTCCCACTGAGATCTGGAACCAGACAAGGATGCCTACTCTCACCATTGCTATTCAATATAATCCTAGAAGTTTTAGCCAGAGCCATTAGGCATGAAAAAGAAATCAAAAGGATACAAATTAGAATGGACAAAGTCAAATTATCTCTATTTGCAGATGACATGATTCTAAATATAAGGGAACCAAAAGACTACACTAAGAGACTACTGGAACTCACAAGAGTTTGGTAAAGTCAAATAATATCAAATTAACGCACGAAAATCATTATGTACACAGACAATGCTTTGGCTCCCTCCTGAGATAGTTCTCATGGAAGCCTGGGTTGTAGGAACCATCTTTGCAGTTTCCTGGCTATGTTTCAGGATTCACAAAGTCCCTATTTTACTTCCCAATAGACACATTTCTTTTCCAGATTTCATGCTCTAAGATGTCAAATTTTTCCCACTGCATGAAGGATTGAGTGCACCTGTAAGCAGTACTTGGCTTCATAAAGATCATATATCTTAGACATCTTCTTTGACATTCTATTGTTAAGATGTAAGTCCCCTTCTGAGACCTAAGCAAGGTTCTTCTCAAAGTCCTCAAACTAAGCCCCTTTCCCTTTCATTTGTAACCTAGTTAATACGTTTTCTCACTAAATTTGTTACTTCCAACCCTGGCTGCAAAATCAGAGATGCTAATTCCTCATCTGATCACTTCTTCCAAGTTAAAGAAAAAGTCTTTTTCTTTTTTATTTAAGAGTCTTATGGATAATCATGTAAGGAAAACAATTCGGTTGCCATAAGAAAAGACATCATATAGGCAACACAATTACTCACAATTCTTTACATTTCTATTATGATCTAATATTGCAGGACCTCTTCAAAAATACACACACACAAAGACAGTAGGCACTAAAATTAGTGCTTTGTATCATGACACCATATTCTTAATCTAAACTTTAATACACCATCAAAGTTCAGCTTTGGTAACCAAATTCACACAGTAGCCAGGTCTTGGTCTCATTTGTTATCTTCATTACCTGTGATAGATGTGGGAGAACTATTGGTAAATCAACTTCATATTTTCTACTTAAACAAGTTTTAATTTCATGCCAAAGATAGGTCTCATGGGATCCTCAAAAATAAAAATTTCAGCCATTTGTTAAGTAACTACCATATGTTAGGATTTATTATGGTTGTGTCCCTTGCATTATACCTTTAACCTCAGGAAGACACTTTGGAGTGGTTATTATTATGATCATTTTATAGATGAGGAGATTTAATAACAGACACATTAAATAGGTTGTTCAAAGTCATGTATCAAGAAAGTGGAAAAGTCAGAATTGGGTCCTAGTCTACCCAACTCTAAAGTCAATGGGCCATAGCAACATCCCACGTGACACCACCACTCCATGTAGCCATCATTCACCTGCCACTGGCCTCTCATTTCTTCACTCAATGACCTCACAGACAAGCTATATTATTCCCATTTGACCTAAAAATTCCTTTCTTGGGATTCAGGTACATCTTCTCCATCTTGGAAAATACTTTCATTTTTCCTTTTGGAGGTTTTGGTGGCTCTGACTCTGAAATCCTAACTTCCGCTAGCTGGATTTAATTCTGATAGAATGAATTTTATTTGATCAGATATACCACCAGATTAATTGTCAGGAAGGACTGATACCTTGTAGTGAAATACACTGAGAAAATTACAATAAGTAAGACTGATCTGATTCCTCAAGGAGATAATAAACTATGGAAATTATTTCTGGTGAATTATGAACGTGATAAATGGACGAAGATGAAGCTGGAGATGTTGCTACACTCACAAGAGATTTGGTTTTTACCCTGTAGGTTGATGATGGAAAGTTGTGGAAAGATTTTGTACAAGGGTATGAAACAGACAACACAGAGGTTGTATTTAGATGTGATAAAGCAAAGATGGCAGAAAGATAATATCTTGATAATTTAGAGCAGTGTTCTCAAAGTAATGTGCCTGGAGCAGTAGCATCAACTTCACACACACAGCTGCTTGTTAGAAACCCAAATTCTTGAGTCCCAACATAGAACTATTGAAAGAAACAGTGGGTGATGAGGCTTGGCAATCTGAGTTGTAACAACTATTCCAGGTAATTCTGACTCATTCTCAAGTTTGAGACGCTTTGGCCTTGGAGCAGGTCACTAAGGGCTTGAACTGCTGCAGTAAAAAGATGGAGAAAAAGGATTGTGGTAGCGAATCACTTAGAATATAAAATTAAAGGATGATAGAAGGTAGACAGCGAGAGGATTTAATGGATTACACATGGAGGTGAGTGCTGCTCTCTGGATTCTCAGATGCCCTATCAGTAGCAGGATAGTTTCTGAGAATTCTGATCCATTTACCTCGCCCAGAATATCTTAAACACATCAAAATAATGAAAAACAAAGCATTTTCAGGGGATTAAGAGTGGTTCAATCCATCTAAACCAGTAATTCACTCTTACATTATTGTTTGGACAAATATTAAGCTCATTTGTTTCCCTATTTCTTGAAGGTCTAATATAGGAGTTGAAATGATGAAGAATTTTATCTCCATCGAGGTCTCACCATGTAACAGTAAGTCTGTGCTATTGCCTACCGTGTCCACAGGTTCTTCATTTTTAAAAAACTATTTATTTATTTATTTGAAAGGTGGAGTTAGAGGGAGGCAGGGAGGGAGGGAGGGAGTGAGAGAGAGAGAGAGAGATATTCCATCTGCTGATTCACTCCTCAAATTTATTCATTTAAAGAACACTATTGAGGCTGGCGCTGTGGCTCACTAGGCTAATCCTCTGCCTGCGGCACCGGCACTCCAGGTTCTAGTCCTGGTTGGGGCGCCTGTTCTGTCCCGGTTGCTCCTCTTCCAATCCAACTCTCTGCTGTGGCCCTGGAAAGCAGTGGAGGATGGCCCAAGTGCTTGGGCCCTGCACCCGCATGGGAGACCAGGAGGAAGCACCTGGCTCCTGGCTTCGGATAGGCGCAGCGCACCGGCCATAGCGGCCATTTAGGGGGTGAACCAACGGAAGGAAGACCTTTCTCTCTCTCTCTCACTGTCTAACTCTGCCTGTCAAAAAAAAAAAAAAATCTTGAACCCTGTCCTAAAGCCTACAACCTCTGAAAAAGACTGATCTCTTCTCTAATGTGGCAATCACAATCCACACCCAATTTTTACATCAAAGAAAGCACTTGGATTCTTAAGCTAACTTGAGTCCTCATAACTCCTCTTTTGTTTACCTCTTGCCTGGATAGTTCTTTGTAGTAAAGGCAGGCAGGTTCCTAGAGATGGTGCCCAACTTATTTTTTGGAGCCACTTACAAACTTGATGTAATTGGATATGGATAATGCATGTTATTAAACTTATACCCCGGGGCTGGCACTGTGGCTCAGTGGGTTAAAGTTCTGACTTGCAACACTGACATCTCATATGGGTGCTGGTTCGAGTCCCGGCAGCTCCAGTTCCAATCCAGTTCCCAGCTAATGCACCTGAGAAGGCAGCAGAGGATGTCCCAAGTGCTTGAGCCCCTGCACCACATGGGAGACTTTGACTTTGGTTTGGCTCAGTCTTGGCTGTTTCAGCCACTTGGATAGTGAACCAGTGGGTGGAAGATTCTCTCTCTCTCTCTCTCTTGCTCTCACTCTCACCCTGTCTCTCCTCTCTCTCTGTAACTTTGAATCTAAAATAAATAAATAAACCTTTAAATTTATACCCCGAACCTAAGCAATGCAGGTGGATGATGAAGACATGCTTTCTAAGCAACCAGGGTAAAAATGGCCTCAGAATCTCACCTGAGTTCAGCCTCCAGCAGAGCCAGTGAATCCAGCTTAGGCCCTTTTAATGGTGGGACGTTTTCAACAAGGAAGCCATGGTCCTACTTTTTCCTGCACTTGTCAGAACACACTGAGAATATTACATTCAGTTCTAGACATAACAATTAAGCATTTAAGGGTTTGCAGGTTTTACTGTAAAACATGATTCTGGTACACACAAAATAAACAATTTGCAACAATGATTCCATAAATGCTCAAGCTTCTTTCATGGATAAGCGGTTTGAAGGGGGTTGGGGATTTGCAGCGTGGCAAAGCCAGTGTCGTTGGTGCAGTGTTCAACTGGGCTACTGAGCCCTGCTATTCCTCGGTCACACATGTGCTGGCTGTAGCCAGTTTTCTCATAGTTATGTGGCCTTGGGGACAAGGTGGAGCCCAGAGAGACAGTGTGAATGCAAAAGAGAAAACTCCAAGAAAAACCCAGTGAGAATTGTTAATTCATTCTTTGACATGATCTTACTCAACAAATATTTGGGGAAGGGAGGAGGGTAGAAACATAGACCAAGAGCTGGGTAAAGGAAAATAACAGGAAGGCAGCGGTGAGGAGAGTGTTTTAAAATAACCCGTGGTAATAAAAGTGACTGACTGTGGGCCTTTTCATTGCCAGACAGTGAGAACATCAGAGAGAAATGTCAGATTGGGATGAAGAGTCCTTTCCCTAGTGGTTATGCTTTGAAGGGAAGGTGGATTACAGCATTTTGCAAACAGATCAAGTTCAGTGAAATAAAAAACATAAACGACTGTTTGGAAAGAAAACGTATTTACCTCATGGGAGATTCAACACTGCGTCAGTGGATACACTACTTAAAAAAAGTTGTGACAAGTATGTATTTTGTTATTATTTTGGAATTGTGATTGGCTTCTGAGGGTTATTTTTTAAAATCACCATTAGACTCCTTTGCTTTCCTCTTCTGATCTTAATTTTAGATTTTTTTAATTTATCAAACTCTTAGCTTTGAGTTTTTAATATAAAGTTAGTTTTCATTTACAAATATTAATTTTTCTTCCTCCTGTCTTCTGATAAATGTCCAAAGTTTTAGTTAAGATTTTAATTCATATGCTAAAATTCTTTACCTTGCATAGGCATCAATGCTATTATTTCAAATGATCTTGGTTAGAATTCTAGATACTGTATGAATTTTAAAATTATATCACTTTCTTCTTCTTAAAAGTCTTACTGATTTGTTTCCCATCAGCCTTAAAATATTTTGGTCATCATGGAACTAGAACCTTTGAAACACACATTCTTCTGGATGTTGAAAGACATATTTTGATTCAGTGGAAAAAACACAGTTATCCATTTGTTACCCTAAAGGTTTTCTCAGTGAAAGATGAAAACTATATTTCACGAGAAATTGACCGTGTGGCAGGTGACAAAGACACGGCCATTGTCATTACCCTTGGCCAACATTTCAGACCTTTTCCCATCAAGACTTTCATCCGCAGAGCCATCAATATTCAAAAGGCCATCAAACGTCTATTCCTGCGAAGCCCAGAGACCAAGGTGATACTGAAAACTGAAAATACCAGGGAGATTCATTCAAATGCAGAGATGTTCAGTGACTTTCATGGTTATATTCAGAATCTTGTCATGAGGGAGATTTTTGCAGATCTCAATGTGGGTGTTATTGATGCCTGGGACATGGCAGTTGCATATCACACTGATAACATTCATCCACCTGATTATGTGATTGAAAGTCAAATTGATATGTTCTTAAATTATATTTGCTAGAGGAAAAATACAAAGAAACAGCATGAGTCATTCTCTGTAGATGGTCTCATATATATGGCAAGGATAGTTTAATGCAATCTGAGGTAAGAGTGAACCGAATTTAAAAAAAATAAATTGGGGGTTGGTGCTGTAGTGTAGTGGATTAAGCCACTGCCTGCAGTGCCAGCATCCCATATTGGCACTTGTTCAAGTGCCGGTTGCTCCACTTCTGATCCAGCTCTCTGCTATGGCCTGGGAATCAGTAGAAGATGATCCAAGTGCTTAGGCCCCTGTACACACATGGGAGACCTGGAAGAAGTTCCTGGCTCTTGGCTTTGGATTGGCCCAGCTCTGGCCATTGTGGCCATTTGAGGAGTCAGCCAGCAAATGGAAGACCTCTCTTCTCTTCTCTCTTTCTCTCTTTCTCTCTCTCTGGTTCTGCCTCTTTATAACTCTGTCTTTCAAATAAATAAATAAATCTTTTAAAACAATTAAATTGTTGCTAAATATACACAACTTAAAATTTTCCATGAAAATCTTTTTTAAATTTGTAATTCAATGGCATTGGGTACATTCACAATGTTGTGCAGCCATTACCGCAATCCTTCCCTAGAACTTTCTCATTATCCCTAACAGAATCTCTGTACCTATTAAACAGTAACTCCATATTCTCCCCTACTCCTGGTTCTTGGTGACCACCATCATACTTTCTGCCTCTATGAATCTGACTATTCTAGGTAGCTCATATAAATGAAGTCATAGCATTTGTCCCTTTCTGTCTGGCTTATTTCACAGAGGATATTGCCTTCAAGCTTCATCCATGTTGTAACATGTGTCAGACTATCCTCCTTTGAAGATTGACTAATATTCCATTATATGTATAAACCACATTTTGTTTATTCATCTATTGACTGATATTTGGGTTGTTTCTATCTTTTTGGCCATTGTATATAATGCTGCTATGAAGAAAAAACAAAAATAAAAGATATGTCTTCAGTGCTGAGCACATCTGAATAGCAAATTGTCATCATCCATGATTTAATTTAAGAAACAGACAGCCTTGTAGCTGGTGTTGTGGCACAACAGGTTAAGCTGCCACCTGCAACAAAAGCTCTGCTTTGAGTCCTGGCTGCTCCACTTCTGTTCCAGCTCCCTGCTAATGTGCCTGGGAAAGCAGGAAAGATGGCCCAAGTGCTTGGGCCCCTCCATCAACATGGGAGACCCAAGTGGAGTTCCAGTCTACTGGCTTTGGCCTGGCCCAGTCCCAGCCACTGTGGCCATTTTGGGGGTGAACCAGCAGATGGAAGATCTCTCGTTCTCTCTCTCTCTCAACTCTGCCTTTCAAATAAATAAAACAAGTCTTTAATTCCAATGTATGTGTACAATGCTGATCAAAACAGGGTAATCAGTATTTCCCCTTCTTTGACCATTAAAAATGAGTGGAGGTTTGGAGCCTCTATTTGTTCCATAAAATCTGTGCTAGGTTATTATCTACTACACTGTGCTGCGTACTACTAGTAGCTTCTCACTTTGATCAAAATCCAATTTGGTAGCCATTTTCCAAATTCCCTCTAACCTCCCTACCTCTCCCAGCCTCTGTTAATTACCATTCTGTGTTCAGATGGAGATGTTTGTTAGTTTTTTAGCTCCTTCATGTAAGGGAGAACATGCAGTGTTTCTCTGCCCAGCTTATTTCACTCTACATGATATACTCCAGTTCCACCCACTTTGCTGCAAATGACAGAATTTCATTCTTTTTAAGGCTGAATAGCATTTCTTTTTTTAAATTTTTTTTAGTACAGCTTATGGATTACATTGCCCCCCCCAACTTCCCTCCCACCTGCAATCCTCCCATCTCCCGCTCCCTCTCTCATTCCAGGCTGAATAGCATTTCATCATGTATATATAACATATTTTCTTTATCCATTCATCTGATGATGCACAAGTTAGTTGATTTCATAGCTGAGCTATTGTTAACAGTGCTGCACTAAACATGGTAGAGCAGGTATCTTGTTGATAAAATGATGTCATGTCTTTTGTATATATATTCTGGTGGAATTGCTGGATCGTATGGTAGTTCTATTTCTAGTTTTTCAAAAAGAAAAATTCATGCTGATTTATTTCTTTTTCTTTCTTTTATGATGTTTGTTTTTTAGATTTTAGCTGCCACATATCAGAGAGAACATGCAGAAAAAGAAAGAAAGAAAGAAAGAAAGAAAGAAAGAAAGAAAGAAAGACATGTGTGTATCAGTATTGCTGCAAGTACCATTTTGTAAAACTTTGTTTTATACCTTTGTGAAACTAATGGTTAAGAACGATATGTCCTTTTCTTTCTTTCTTTCTTTCTTTCTTTCTCTTTTTTTTTTTTTTTTTTTTTTGGACAGGCAGAGTGGACAGTGAGAGAGACAGAGAGAAAGGTCTTCCTTTGCCGTTGGTTCACCCTCCAATGGCCGCCGCGGCCGGCGCACTGCTGCTGGCGCACCGCGCTGATCCGATGGCAGGAGCCAGGTACTTATCCTGGTCTCCCATGTGGGTGCCGAGCCCAAGCACTTGGGCCATCCTCCACTGCACTCCCTGGCCACAGCAGAGAGCTGGCCTGGAAGAGGAGCAACCTGGACAGAATCCAGCTCCCCAACTGGGACTAGAACCCGGTGTGCCGGCACCACAAGGCGGAGGATTAGCCTAGTGAGCCGCGGCGCCAGCCAAGAATGCTATGTTCTAGTGATTACTTTAAAATTTACTGTATATGGGTGAAATGACCATTTTTCCATTCAATTATTGTTTATTGCCTTTGTCTATATTTTCACCAAAGTAGGGTTTCTTTGCTTTTTGCTTGTTAAAATTCTTATTCAGTGACATATTAAGCCTTTTTTTGTAATGTAAATTTAAAATATGTTATCACAAAAACTAAAAAAAAAAAAAAACAAAAAAAGGAATAAAAGAAAGAGGGTTGGAAAGAGAGGGGGGAGGGAGGGGGTAAGGGAAGAAAGGAATATCATGTTCTCTGTATCTGCAAACCACATTGAATCTGTTAGAACTAATTCAGAATTAAAAATAAATAATTTAAAGATAAACAAAATAAAATAAAGAAAAATCCATGCTGTTTCCCATAGTGACTGTACTCACTTACATTTCCACCAATAATGTATGAGTTGTCCTTTCTCCACATCCTCACTAGCATTTATTACTTTTTGTCTTTTTGATAATAGCCATTCTAACAGGTATGAGGGGATATCTCATTGTGGTTTTGATTGGTATTCCCCTGATAGTTAATAATACTGAGTATTTAAAAGTTTATTTGTAGGTCATTCATGTTTAAGGAAAATGTCACTGATAAAAGATCCTACTTAATGGGATCGTAATAGCAGTCTTCTTGCTTAGGAAAATTATTTGGAACTTTTAAGCCAGGATTCATCTGATTCCGTAATACTCATGGGCCACAAATCGACAAAGCTCATTGAGAGAAAGCAACTTACTGTTGTCAACACATGGACCCTGATACCTCGATTCTTGCTGACTCTAAAAGTTTGATGTGGAATCTCTTCTGAGAGAATCTCTAATGACTAAAGAAGTTTGCCTCAAATTCTTCCTCCCATTATAATATTATCCTTTCTTTCCATTTTTATAAACTGTAGATCTCAAGAGTTAGAATGTTGCCTTCTGAAGTAAGCCAGACCCAAAATGGCAAATACCATATGTTTTCTCTAATTTGTGAGCGCTAATATAGAGAGTGCTGAAAAAAAAAAAAAAGCCCTTATATATAAGGACTGAAATTGACATCTTGCGATTTGATTATTGCTTATAGCCTTGTCTATACTCTCGTGGAACAGACTCTTTCTACTTTTTACTTGTTGAACGCTGTATGTAGTGGAACATTAAGCCTGTGATTATAAAGTAAATTGAAAGGAAGGAAAGAAGGAAGGAAGAGAGAGGGAAGGAGGGAAGGATGGATGGATGGATGGAGAGACATGTTGTATTCTTAGAATTATGTCTACAAAATACATGAAATCTGATCTCTTTATATTAATAGAAAAGAGAGATGGAGGCAGGAAAGTCAGAGTTGAGAAGAGGTGTGCTAAGGAAGCAGAGGTTGGAGTAATGTGCTTTGACTGTGGAGGAAGGGCCCCTAATGCCGATTGCTTCTGCCCCTGAAAAGGGTTCCACAGATTCTCCTGCAGAGCCTCCAGAAGGAACCAGCCCTGCTGGGACCTTGACCTTCAGCCTAATGAGACGAATTTTGGATTGATGACCCCCAGGACTGTAAGATGATAGATTGGTATTGCTTTTGAGTCCCCAATTTGTGCCAATTTATTAAAACAGTGATAGGAAACTAGCACATCAACTTTGGTGATAAACTGAGTGCTTGGTGAGACTTACCTATAAGGAAAATCTTTTTGCATCCTTCTAAATAAAAATGCTAAAGAATATTAACAAAAATAATTAAAATGTTGTGAATGGAGTGAAATTGTAATGCTGTAATATCAGGACAAAGTTCAAGTCACACAATTTAGGTCCAGACGCCTCTGAATAAGGGAACACAGACTAGAAATTCCTCCCTATACACAGCTAACCATCAGTTCTAATTCTTCCTGTAAGACACTTTCAGAATAAATCTAATTATTTCTCCAATCACAGAATTGTTAATTGCTTAAATGAGTTATCATTTTTCCACCAAGGCTACCTCAAATCCTTTCAATTTAGTTCTTATCTGGTACAGTTTATAATTGTCTTCCCATTACTCTTCAAATGTACTGAGGTTTGTCTGTATCACTTTGCAACATGACTTCCACTCCATTTTTCTGCTCAACAAGTTGAGTGCTCTAATTTAAATGTGATCAAAAAGCCAGAATAATGAGACTCTATTACTTCTATTGTTCTGAAGTTGTGCAGTACAATGTAACAGCAATTAGTCACATGAGGTTGTTTAAATTAAATTAAAAATCAGTTCTTTGGTTGCACTAGTCACATTTCAGGTGTTCAATAGGCAAATGTGGACAGTGGCAGATGTAAGTGTTTGATTGCATGCTTCTCCAGGGAGTGTTTTTCTTTAGGTTTGTTGTAGTATTTGAACATGTTTTAAAAATAAGTACACTGATATTTCATAATTTTTATGGTGAGTATAAAAGAACTCAAATGCTGGTAAATGTCAAACTCCTGATTTTAAGCCATTTATTTGTTGCTCATTATTTTAAAGAAATACTGGAATCCAAATATCTCATAATGTTTTGTCCTTAAAGTGATAACTTTAGGTTACCACAATTAATAATTGTATTGTTAATATACAAGATGGAACAAGCCATTTGAAACCATAGAAATGCTCTTTATTGGTATTGTCAAGTCCCCTTTACAAATTCACATATGCACAATGAGATGAAATCAAACTAGAAGGCAATAGGGACTTGAATCAGTGCCCACATGGGATGCCGGCACTTCAGGCCAGGGCATTAACCCGCAGTGCCACAGTGCCGGCCCCAGTACTGGAAATTCTATCCAAAGTAATTAGACAGGGAAAAAAATAAAAGGCATACAACTGGAAAAGGAGAAATACAATGATCTCAGTTCACATATCCTTACATTTAGCAAGCCTTAAAGATTCTGCAAAAATCTGTTAGAAATAAAAAACAAATTTATTAAAGTTTAAGTATACAAAATCAACACCCAAAACCAGTTGCATTTCTATATACAACAATGACCAATCTGAAAAGGAATTAAGAGAATAATATGATTTACTATAGCAATACAAAAAAGACAATACCTGGGAATAAAATTAACCAATGAGGTAGAAACATATACACTGAAAATTACAAAACTTTGCCAAGAAGAATCAAAGAGATAAAGTAAACGGAAATACAGCCCACATTTGTATTTTGAAAGTCATCATATTGCTAAAATGTCATATTACCCAAATTGATCTACTGAGTAAATGGGATTCCTTTCAAAATCCCAATGGCTTTTTTTTTTCCATAAAAGGCATTTAAAATCATATGAAATCTCAAGGGACCTCAAGCATTGCAGCGTTACTCACGGAATCCAAGAGGTAAAAATAACCTGAACGTCAACCAGCATGTGAATGAATAAAGCTAACATACTATATATGTATAGTTGAATATTATGTGGTCTTTAAAAATAAGGAAATCTTTCATATGCATACAAGGATGAATCTTGAGGACGTTGTGCAAGTGAAATAAGCCAGTTATAAAGAGACAAATACTATAGGTCCCACATGTACATTACCTCTAATACTAAAAATCATGGAAACATAAGGTAGAAAGGTGATGGCCAAGGGCAGGGGATGGGGAGAGAGTAAGTATCCAGTGGTTAGAGTTTCATTGTCAAAGGATGTAGAAGTGCTAGAGGCTTGTTGCAACAATGGCAATGTACTTAAGGCCACTGAATTGCCCACTTAAAAATGGTTAAGATGGTAAATTTAAGGTTGTGGGGATTTTTTTCCCAATATAAAAATGAAATCTCATGTATATTATCTTAAAAAATGTTTATTTATTTGAAGGTAGAGAGACAGAGGCAGATATGGGGATTAGGGGAAAAGAGAGAGAGAGAAAGAGAGAGAGAGAGAGAAACTACTATCCTCTGTTCACTTCCCAAATGCCTACAACAGACAGGACTGAGCTGGGGCTGGAGCCAGGAGTCAGGAATGCAACCCAGGTCCCACAGGTAGGGGGCAGGGACCTAACTACTCGAGCCATCATTACTACCTTCCATGCTACACATAAGTGGGAAACTGGAGTCAGGAGCCAGAGGCACTCATTAAACCCAGACACTCTGACACGGGATGTAGGCACCTTAACTGCTAGTCCATGCCTACCCCCATGGGTATCCTTCCATTTCATAGCAAATTAAGTTAAATGTAAAAATCAACGGTATTTTTATTATACTACCATTAAATAATAATAATAATAATAATATAGTATGCTTTTACCTATTATGCTGAAATGAAATAACCTCAGTTACTTATTAGCCATGAATGACTTCAAGTCTTTGTTTTCATCAATAGTGAATTGACATTAGGTCTATTTTTTGGAGCCGAGAAAGGAGCATGTGAATAACCATTCAAGTCTGTGGCACACATGGCTGCTATTTTACTAAAAGTAAGCACAACGTTCCTTTCCAGTCTATCATGGGTCACAAAATCCCTTACATGAAGAATGTTCCCACATAGCACAAATTTTCAATGACAACTTGTGGCAAAAAGTCATCAAGTGCTTCAACTCTTATCTATGTGCTCAGAAGCCAGGAATTT